CATCTCGCTCTCTTCTCTGAGTCTGTATGATTCACCTCCTGTGGGGTTCTCTGTGTGTAGGTGTGTGTTGGTGGTATTCAATCTTTGCTGCCTTGGCAATCAATTTGAATAATCCGATCCTTCTTACTTGTCAGGAGAAATGTGTGTGCTGGGTTGTTTTACTAATCTGCTTGTTGCTGTTATTCTTGAAGTTTTGGAGAGGAGTGTCTGAGATGGTAGAGCAAAGAGATGATTTTTGGATGTTCAAAATTTGTTGCCTGTACTTACTCCTGAGTAATCTAGTCCTCTTTGTGAGTAGAAATGCATGAACTGGATTTTTGTACCTCATTGCTTCTCACTGTTACTTCTGAGGAGTTATGGAGAATGGCATCTGTGAAGATGTTCAGTGAAAGACATGGATTTTGGATGCTTGTTTGTGTGGTTTTGAGAGTATTATCATTATAATTATCATTTATCAGTTCCTTGCAATGGAGCAACTTTTTATTGCTCTGATGATACAAATAGCATCAAAATAATTTTGACTGACTTTGGGGACTGCCAACACTAATGATCTGTACTCTTAATTGTAAAGTCACTTGATTCTTTGTGAAATGAGAGTTATTCATGGAAGAGGAGAATGCATATCTTAAAGTGTGTGTTTGTGTGTGTGCGTGCGCGCTCATGTGCACTCATATAAACAAAAAGTGAAAATGTGAAGGTGGGTCCCATGGTGTAGATTGAGCCTCAGGGGTGAGCCTCGGGTCTTAATAGGTTGAAAAACCCTGGTATAAGGGATGCATGTCCTGTGTTGTAAAGAAGCTTTAAAGTTCCTTACAGGATGGTTATGCTGATTATGTCTTGTTTTAAAAACAAAGGAAATAAAAAAGAAGATATCAGTATCCCAGGAAACTCACAAATTTTCCCCCATGATCCTACTTTATGCTGTTCAGGAAGTAGCAGAAGTGGGTGGGATGCAAAAATTGTAACTCACCCAGACTGTGAAAATACCTTGTGATGGGCCTGCTTACAGCACATTTCAGAATGCTCAATCCAAGTAGATACGTTTTGTTGCCTGCCTGAAATTAAGTTCACATTTCTGTTGTCTAAATTATAAATTAATGTATTGCTTTATAACATCAATATTTTATGGTTATTGTTTTATTTGAATTATTAAGGTTTCAGTACAAGATAATCAGTAACATTTTCCAAGTCCTATTCTTTCAGACCAGTTACTGACCTCATTTCACATTACCTTTCATTTAAAGAGACTATTCTTCTTATTTTCATTTCTATACCACTCCATGGCAAAGTTCTCTGGGTGGTTTAAAACAATGCATAAAAACAAAATGCAAATATAAAAAGTAGTATTAATTTAATATATTTATTTCATTTTTATACAGTCCAATAGCCAAAAGTACTCTGGGCAGTTTATAAAGTTGAAAAATACTGCAAAAACAATATATGAATCAACAGTAAAACAACAATCCCAAATAAAATGGAGATTAATCCCAAATAAATCCATAATAACCACTATCAGATTGGTCCAGAGGTACAGCAGCAATACCAGTTAAAATTGAAATTAAGAATTAACAGTCAAAATACTGGATAATAAAACGTTTTTTACCTGGTGCCACAAAGAATAAAGAGTGCCAGGGCACCTCTTGGAGGAGCTGATTCCATAATTGAATTGTCACAACAGAAAATGACTTTCTCTTGGTAGCCCCCTCTGTACTCCCCCTCAAAGAATAACCTTAGACCAAGGTAAGTACATACAGATTGAGGCATTCCTGAAGATTGCCTGGCCTCAAACTGTTCAGGGCTTTAAATGTTACTAACTGCACTTTGAATCAGGCCCAGACTTCAACTGGCAACCAACACATCTGAAAGAGGACCGGTGTGATTCTTGTAAGCCAGTCCCCATTAACAGCCTTGCTGCCTTACTTTCAATCAATTGAGGTCACTGGACCATTTTCAAAGGCAGTTCCACATAGGGCTCATTACAGTAGTCCAAACAAGAGGCTACCAGAACATGGATCACAGTTGCATGCCTCTGTCTGACCAGGGAGGGCTACAGTTAGTATATGAGGTGCGCGATACCTCTGTGTCCACTTGTGATTCCAGCAAAAGTTCTGGATCCTGGAGCACCCCCAAAGTTTTCAGTACAATACAATCAGTAATATTTTCCGAGTCCTATTCTTTTGGACCAGTTACTGTCCCCTCTTCACATTACCTTGTCATTTAGGGGGAGGGCAACCCCATCCAGAACAGGTTGAATATCACCCAACTGGACAGATGACCCACCCTGTCCAACAGCACCTCCATCTTCTCAGGATTGAGTCTCAGTTTACTGGCCCTCATCCAGTCCATTACCATTCTCAGACACTGATTCAGAACAGCCACAGCCTCACTTGGATTTGATGAAAAAGAGAGGAAGAGCTAAGTGTTATTTGCATATTGGTGACACCTCAGCACATACCTCTGTGATAACCTTCCCCAGCAGTTTCATGTAAAAGTTTAGCATCGGGCAGGGGATAGTCAAACCGAGGGTTGGAAGTCATATGTGGCTCTTTGAGTTTATTTTACTGCTTCCCACCGCCACTACCAACAGGTGCCTGCTTGCTGTTTGCCACCTGCTGCCTGTGGGCACTTACTTGCAGCTCTGAAACATCTGACATTTACCATTATGTGGCTCTTTGGTTGAACAAATCTGCCCCCTGCCCAGCATAGAAGATAAAATGGAACCCTGCAGTACCCCATGGCGTAACTGCCATGGTGCAAAGCAAAAATCCCCCAGCACTACCTTGTTTAATTGGCTGGTCAGGTAGGGGTGGAACCACTGCAAAGTAGTACCTGCTACTCCCAACCCAGCCAGCCTATCCAGAAGGATGCCATGGTTGATGATATCAAAAGCCACTGAGAGGTGCAGGAAAAGCAACAGGGTCACCAAAGCACCTTCTGTTCCAAAACCAGGTCCAATGGAAATGGAGCTAGATAATCTGTTTCAACCAAGAAAGCTTGGAGCTTTTCAGCAACCACTAGCTCAAATACCATGCCCAGGAAGGGGGTATTGGCTGCAGGCCTGTTTGTTAACATCTTCTGGGTCCAAATCAGTTTTTTTCAAGTGTGGTGTGATTACAACTTGCTTTATTTATTTATTTGGGTTTTGTCCCCCCCCCCCCCCCCCCATCCAATACCTTGCGGCTCTCTGGATGACTTGCAAGTTTTAAGAGACTGGCCCCATTCCCTCTTTCAAGGAGGCATTTACAGCCACTAGGACCCAGGTGCCAATCCCTTCCTTAGTTCTATTAATAAGCATGATGGGATATAAATAGCTAAAACATAGAGTGAAACTGACCTGTACAGGGAAAAACAAAATAATATGGGATGGGTAATAATCTCAAGCCCCTGCATATCTGAGCATGTCTTTAAATGTTTTGGTATAAAGGGCTGTCTTAACCTGCTGCTGAAAAATAACAAATTTGGGCATCAGTGGGGAGGTTGTTCCATAGATGGGGGGACAGCCACAGAGGAAGCTCTCCCTCTTGTTGTCCCCTTCTGAGCCTGCTTCAGAGTCGGCACCTGGAGGAAGGCCTCAGAGGTTGAGTGTAGTGCACAAGTAGATTGCAGTCAGAAGAGGTGCCCTGACAGCATTGTGGGCCCAAGCCATGTAAACTTTAATAGGTTAAAACCAGTACCTTGAACTCAGCCCAGAAACTTACAGGCAACCAATGAAAGCAGTCTAGAACCAGTCGTATCTGTTCAAACCTATGGGTCATGGTTATTAATCTAGCAGGTGCATTCTGCACCAGCTACAGCTTCTTGAACCATCTTTGAGGTCATCACCACATAGATGCATTGAAGTTATTTAATTTAGAGATTACCAGAATTACTGAAATCAGGCTATCCCTGTCCAGGTAGGGATGTACCTGAGTAGCAGTTGAAATTGCTAGAAGACATTCCAGTAGAAGACACTACTGAGGCCACTTGAGGCTCCAGTGACAATGAGGGAGCAAGGAGAACCCCCAGATCATGAACCTGCTCCATCAGGAGGAGTACAAGTCCATCTAGAACAGGCTGCAGGAATCTGTCTGGTCAAAGGAACCACCCACCAACAGCATCTTGTTTTCTCTGGATTGAGCTTCAACTTTGCTAGCCTTCATCCACTGTACTGTCAAAGGCTTAGCACATCCACAGCCTCACCTGCTAGAAATAAAAGGAAGAAATAGAACTGTGTGCTATCAACAAACTGATGACAACACACTTCAAAACTCTGGATTAACCCTTACTGACTTTTGTTCCTTCCTTACTGGCTTTTATAAGCCAGGAGGGGCAGACATCTAGAACAGAGGTGATTGCTTGACCTGGTCAAGCACATTGTCTGTATCCATGAGCTGTACCACCTGAAACTTATCCAATCAAACTGGGCCAGGCTGGGCTCTGAATATTTCCACATATTCAGCTGCCTCAACTCTTGAGTCTAAGTCCTGATGGATTCAAGATATTTTTTTCTGGAAGTGCACAGCAAGTAACAGCAGACCTCAGAAGGTTTTAAAATGCCCTTGGGGCCAGGATGTTATAAGCCCAGAAGCCTGAAAAGCTGTGCTGGGCAGTAAAGAGAAGAATGACATTTTAATCATTCTAATGTCCAATATGCTCTTTGCAAAATTGTTTGCTGCATAAACCACATTCTGAGGTATGTTTTAGATGGTCTGACAGATTGGAATGTTTGAAATGGTCAAGTTCAGTCATCAAGTAGTTAATTGCCATAAATAATTGGCTTAACAGGTGATAAGTGGTTTCTGATACATTGACTTATATTGTTATTTGTAAATTGCAACCTCTCCTATGTTACGGGAAAATTTATTCTGTTATGTAGGAGGAGAATGGTTTAAGTACTATGTACTTGCAATCAGAGAATATTTAAGCTTGTCAAAATTAGGTCATATCCTGAACTTTTAATTTAACAAGGCACGGGTAGAATTGCTGGCTAATTTTTTAATTTTGTATTTTATTTATTTTAGAACGACAGTTGAGTTCATCTATGGCTGGATCAAATGCCCTTACTTCCACTGTAGCTGGTATGAGTAAAGAGCTTGTAGAACTTCAGCATCTCATTCAATTTCCAGAGGAGGTTGCTAGTATACTGACTGAGCAGGAGCAGGATCTCTACCGGAAAGTATTGCCCATTGACTACCTCTGCTTCTTAACTAGAAATATGGGAAATGCTGAATGCCAGAGCAAACTTTCAACTATTAAAACTTCAATTTCTGCAACTCTTCTTTCTGCCCCAAATGGGGAATGCAGTGCTGTTGAAGACCTGGTGACAAGATTCAATGAGGTAGGAAGAAGATTTGATTATTTACATACATGGTTTGCTTTCTTGCAATGTCATTGATGGAGTGTGTGTGTGTCTAAGTATTGGTTAGATCCAGCTTTCTAATGCTGCTTGGAATATCGGGCTGCTTTTTTTTAAAGGGTGAGCTGGGGTCTTGGCAGATGCCTAAGCATGTTTGTTGCTGACATTAGCCATGGTGTTTTTGATAAGGTAGTTTAATTGGATTGTTGCTAACTTAAACTCTTGAGCAGAATAAACATATTGCTTAATTCTGTGGACTGTTCTTGTGGACTAAACTTCTTAGTGATCTGCATGGAGCATTATGAAACAGGCATTTCTAGATTTATCCATAATCTGCAGAAAACTAATTAAGCACTTTTATATGCTGTGATTGTTTTTAAAGAGGCAGGGCCATTTATCTGAGCACTTTTCCATTGAGGCACAACTTAACCCATTTTCTTTTCCTTAATTATTTTAAAAGAAGATTTCTGATTTGAACATAAGAGGCCTGCTATGCCAATGCAAGGGCATAACTTACTGTATTGTCCAAGTGTCCTGAGGTGACTCCAGTGGTCTAGTGTAACAAACTGGATTGATTAGTGGCTAAGTCAGTGATAGTGAGAGCTTCCATAGGCAAAATAGGGCAGTGTATACAGCTGCATAAAATTTTATGGACAAAGGTGGTGCTTCCAGATAGAGCTTTCATTCTGCCTCAAACCTAGAAGTTTATTGGCAATCCAAAGGATGCCATCTTTTTAGCCTTCTGTTTTCCTGCTTCTTGTCTTACTGCCGGGGGGAAATGAGTTACATGTACAATATCATTTGGCTGGTAATGTGGGAAGCTGTCTATTGGAAGCACCTGAGGTCAAAACAAGGACATGACAAGACATCAGAACAAAATCATAAGTGGTTATTGATCATGGTAGCATTGATTTGCCATTCTCTTTCAGCGAGTTCCCCATTTTACTTAGTAAGCCTGCTTATAAGCATGAGACGGAAAAGGAGGTAGTTGTATATAAATTACCTCCTGTTTTGATGCAACACAAACATATTTGAAAGATAGTGAATTAGCTTCAATGATTGCAGGATGTCAAATCAGTTTGATGCATGATTTACTCAAGGCCAGATGGCAATTTTCTTTTGTAATGCCCCAGGGGAAACATGCACAGCAGACATGTGAAAACATACAAGAACATTTTACTAAGGGATTTCTCTTAACTGTTATCAGAACATATTGTAGGATTACAGGATTTTAATAATATATATTTTAAGAATCATATGGATAGGAAAGATAAGAAATTTAATAAAATGGTGAAATGCCCAACATGTTTCAGTATAGACCTTCTTCAGCAGTATAGTTTTCATTGAATCTTTCATAAGGCAATATTTGGAAGAGATATTGCCTTACTAGGAATCTGTATTCTTACACCCCTGAAAAGGGTATTTACTGATATATTTTGGATATTTTACTGTTAAATTGTGTATGTTTTGACTACTGGTTCCACTTTTTTCTTGTCTTTAAGCTTTCTTGCCTTTGTTACTGCCTCCCTTTTTCTCTCACAATGTTTTCTCTTGCAGGATACTCCGATAATAACAACTGTTTATGCTTTTTCCAAAAATGAACAACTTTTCTGTTGCTCTAATATTAATTTGCAGAGTATTCATACATCACAAAAGCCACTTGGTCAATTACTGAATCTGGGAACATGAAACCACAAACTTAGAAAGATGACTTGTTTGTACTTTAACATACTTGCTTTTATTTTATTTGTTATTGCTTTTTATCATTTGTCTTTGGTTGTCTCTTCAGAATTGTTATGATTCAATGTGTCCAGAGTTTAATAGCATTGCAGACTGTATTCAGAAATGAGACATTCCATTTAGTTTTAAGGAACTGTGTTTCGCTTTAAATATGATATACTTTCCAGAATTTTATACTGGTAAATGCTCACTTAAATAATAGCACTTTTAATAGGATCATATTCAGTATTTGAATTTGAAACATTCTGATACCTTGTGACAATAATTTGCACATTCATTTTGAAGTTACTTTCACCCAACTGCTTGTGATTGCTCAACTCCAAGTCAATATATATATATTTGGCTTCATTCGACTTTTATCAAAACTTAATTCACATTCTTTTGTTAATATAGTAGGACTGGTGACATTTGATATAAATAGTATATAATAAAATGCATTTTTTTTTGCAAAATGTAATTTACAATGCCTATTTGAGGAAAATTATAATATTTTGTTTCTTTACATTATTGACAATATTAGCTGCATGTTCAATAAGCTTGCCATATTCTATTAGCAAGAGTAGTTTTTTATTCGTCTCTGTTTATATATTTGAAAGAGAATTCCTACAGAAAGAGTCATGCTTTGGTTGGCAAAAAACAGTGACTGCTTGCTGGCTTTCTGGCATTGCTTGGAAAAATAATTCACTATATTTATATTGTGGGAGCCAGAACGAATGTTTAGATGACAGTCTCTTGATACTTAATGGGAGACAACTATTTCATGCCATTGTCCATTTTTTTTCCACTGGCAGTTAAGGCATGCACATGGTATAGCATGCAATTGTGCTTTATTGCAAATTTTGGTAAAGGCAAGTGCTAATTTATATCATAAGAGAAGTACTTTTGGCTTAATGCAGTTTCCCATTTATTTCTTAAGCTGTCTCTTGGGGTAGAATCATGATTACACAGTCAGTCATCATAAGGGCCTAAACTCCTATTATGGCTAACCAAGAAATACAGAAGGAAAATGAAATAAATGAAATTTGTATGCGTCCTATGAAACTGAAGTTTAAAAAAAACCCTTTCTTAGTTAATCACCTTTTGCACAGAAAGAAAGAGACAGCTAATATTTTGGAACATTTTAGAACAAAATTGTATCTAGGACCATGTAGTATACATTTCTCTACAGATTCTGCCCTTAACTGTAGAATGCATTGCAAGAAACCAACATGTTTGGTTTGTTTGTTTTGTTGTTTTAATTGCTTTGTTTTTCTTTCTTTGTTTCTTTTTGTTTTGTTTTGTTTTGTGCTGTTCTGTGCTTTGCTTTGTTTTTCCTCCAATTTAAATTTTATTTTATCCTTGCATGTGTGTGTGGGTTTTTGTCAGGGAGAACTGGGCGAATGAGGGGTACTGCAGGACAGACAAGGCGGGGGACCAAGGTAGGGTCTCAGAAGGGTTCCCAATGGCAAGCAGGAGTCACGGGTGTTGCTGTCCGCTGCGACAACTGCGACATGTTTGCCCTTCTCCCCCAGGAGAGGCAGGGATACACTTGTCCTCTGTGTAAGCTGGTGGTCCTGCTAGAGGAGGAATTGAGGTGCCTGAGGGCCGAGAGAGCTCTCCAGGCCCCCCTGGAGCAGCCCTCCTCTGGACAGAGGGTTGAGGAAGAGGCCACGGGAGGAGCAGCTGTGGAGACATGGAGGCATGTCACCCACAGGAGGAGGAGGCCAGCACGGCCTCCTCCTTCTCCTGGCACCAATCTGGAGCTGAGAAACAGGTTCTCTCCGCTTGGGGAGGCTGGGGCTGATGAGGCCTTGGGGGACCAGCAGAGGCCCCAGACTGGGATGACAAGCAGCAAGGGGGCCACTGCAGGAGAGGTGAGGGCCAGGGCACGGCCGCCCACCACCACCAGGAAGACACAGTGGCAGGTGATTGTTGTTGGGGACTCCCTGCTGAGGGGCACTGAGCCGGAGGTGTGCCGCCCCAACCTGGAGACAAGGGAGGTTTGCTGCCTGCCAAGCGCATGCATCTGGCATGTGAAGGACAGAGTGGAGCGTCTTGTTCACTCCGGGGGTCACCAGCCACTCCTGGCGATCCATGTGGGCACAAACAACATGGCCAGGCAGGGTGTGGTTGGGACCACCAGGGACTTTGAGGCCTTGGGGAAGAAACTCAGGGAGCTGAAGGCCCAAGCGGCCATCTCGTCAGTCTTACCTGTCCGGGGATTTGAGCCAGGCAGGGACAGGAGGGTCTCCGAGGTGAACGACTAGCTTAGGGTGTGGTGCCAGAAGGAACACTTTGGGTTCCTTGACCACGGCACTCGATTTCTTGCCAGTGGACTTCTGGCAAGGGATGGGTTGCACCTCATGAGGATGGGGAAAAGGTCCTGTGGAGATGCTCTAGCGAGCTTCGTCTGGAAGACTTTAAACTGAGCTGGGGGGGGGGGGGGGGTCAGGCCCCCCAGAAACGTGTCTGCACTGGACAAGTGTGGGGAGAGGATCAGGGCTCTGGGATCAGGGTTTTAGAGATACTGCAGGGACTGACAGGACTCCTACAGAGAGGGGCTGGGTATCAGGGAGGATGAGAGGAAGGAGGAGGCTGGGAACTCCAAGGAAAGGAAGTGGTGGGAAGGAGTTGAGGTGCATGTACACTAATGCTAGGAGCATGGGTAATAAGCAGGAAGAGCTTGAAGCTCTCCTGGAAATAGGAAGGTATGACCTGGTGGAAATCACAGAAACTTGGTGGGATGAAAGGCAAGTCTGGAATGTGAACACAGAGTGGTATCACCTTTTTAGAAAGGACAGGAAGGGAAAGCAGGTGGGGGCATGGCTTTATATGTCAGAGAAGTAATACACATAAAACATTCTCAACAAGTTACTTAAGCCAATTCATACTTTGGGTTACATTTAATTTTTGGGTCATTTTCTTTGCATATATTAAGTACAAGTGTTTTTGTTGCTGGCAAATGTTAGCAGGGAGAAGAGAGAGAACTATGGGAAAAATTCTCTCTCCCTACTCCAATTGCCTTCCTTGGCTAATCAGCAGCATCAAAGTGAGGCTCAGCTTTCTCCAGACCAGTTTTTTGCTCTTATTCTCTTGCTATGCTATTTCACAGGGCATTGCTCAGCTTCCCTTTCCTCCAATGCAAGCTTTTCTTGTCCTTGCCTAGGGTAAACTGTTGCATGCTATCCTCTCCTAATAGAAATATTCCCGGAGGCTGAAGGAAGTGTTGATAAGACACCATTTGCTTAAGCTATATGATAGGG